CCCCCCCCCGCCCCCACAACAAACCCAGATCTACTTCCTGAAAGGCAGGGATGTGTCCACCGGGGATGCGGCGCTCTCCCTCCAGGAGGACAAGATCGTCAACACGCTGCGTGATGTGCCGGCGCTCATGCTTGAGCACGGGCAGTCTGACATCCTGCACGATCCAGAGGCGCGACAAGACTACGCTCGCAAGGTGCGTTTTGAGATGAGCTGATTCTCTGTGTGATGTGGAGTGCGAGGGAGGGGGGCGGAGGAGGGACAGCCGGATGGAGTGGGAATGATGAGGTGGATGGTGCTGCTAGGAGCTGACGCACTCCTACGAGACTACATCATCTCATTCACCCCTTGGCTGCGGCCTATGCCTAGAGCCTTGGCTCCGCTGTTGGACCCCTTTGCAGGGCTGGTCTGGTCCTGGGCCTGCATTCACAACCCAGCCTCACCCCCCCCCCACAACACGTATACGCTCAGGTCAAGGACTTTTCCGAGTACGTGGCCAAGCTGCAAAGCGCCAAGCGGACGCAGCTGCTGACTCAGCGCGGCACGCTGGAGCCCCTGGCCTGCTCCGCCGCCTTTGGCGACGACCTGCTGTCCCAGCGCCTGGCCGCGCTGAACCGGGAGCGCCCGCGCCAGTCGTTGCTGCTCTGAGCGCGCGCACTGGCGGGGCCCCTCCGCCCTTCTTGGGCTGGGTGGGCGGCGGGACCAACCACGCTTTCCTCCCCCTCACCCCCTGACGAGTACCACAATGCGACGCGCCGTGCGCCGCCATCGGCCACACCCCCTGACGAATCCTGTACTGATCCCTTGCCGCCTCTTCCCCCCTCCTTACGATACCCTTCATGCCCTCCTCTGTGCGGTTTTACTGTAGCATGGATCACACGGGATTGTCCAGGATGGGGCAATCAGTGTGTTGCGCCCGCGTTCTCGCATCGTACCCCCACTCGCCCCTCACTTCTTCTTGGTGCTGAAGCCGCGGAGGAGGCCCGGGCTGGTCTTGCTCTTGACCTTCTGCGGCGCCGCCCCCGCCTGCCCCACCGCGCTGAGCGGCAGCCGCTTGTTGATCTTGAGGCCCTTGAGGAACTTGGAGGCGGCGTGCTCCGCGCGGTGGCACAGCACACGCAGCAGGACGTCCGGATCCAGCGCCGGCGCGGGGGCCGGCGCCGCGCCGTGCTGCGTCGTCGCCAGCGGCCGCGCTGGCAGCGCCAGGGCCTGTGGAGGGAGTTGGGGGGGAGAGGGGGGGGATGGGGACTGGGAGGGCAATCTCGTGCCGGCAGGCCGGCGCCCATTATCGCGCCACCCCACCCCGACGAACACGAGGGCCACGTGACAAGCACCTGCTTGTAGTTGGCGATGAGCACGTCGGTGTCCAGGGCCATGGCGTCCAGGATGGCGGAGAGCGGCGCCGACGCGCTTTCCACCTCGTCCAGCTCCAGGCCGTCGGCCTCGGCGTGGAACAGGGCCTGGAGTGCGGTGAGGTCTGCCTCCAGCGCGTCGACGTCGCCGGGGACAAACAGGCGCAGCGGCCCGCCGTCCAGCAACACGAAGGCCAGCGCGTCCAGCAGCTCGGCGCAGAGTGCACGCGCCAGCAGCGCGGGCAGCGCGTCGTGCGCGCCGGCGCACAGCGTGCCCAGCACGCGGTCCACCTCCTGCAGCACGCCGCCCAGGCGCGCGGCCTGCACATGGAAGCGGTACAGCCGCTCGTACACCGCGGTGCGCAGGTCGCCGCAGACCAGGCGCCGCGCGACGACGTGGCAGGCCGCGTCGCGCGCGGCGCGCGCCGCGCCGCGCGCGCCCGCGAACATCCCCGTCGCCCAGTCCAGGCCGGTGACGTCGTAGGCGGCCGCCGACGCGCCCGCCGCCGGCTCGTCGGCGGCGGGCAGGCCGTGCCGGTTGCTGGCGGATGCGCCGTCGGCGCCGCTGCCCCCGCCCACTCCGCCGCGCGGCGTGCCGGCCTGCCACCGGTCCAGCACCAGGCGCTCCAGCTCGTCCAGCGCGTCCAGCAGCGCGGCGGCGGCGTTGGCCCGCAGCAGCAGCGCGTCCCAGGGCGTGGCCAGCACGCCCTCCGCCTCCGCGCGCGACACGGGGGGCACCCAAGACAGCGACTCCAGGCCCACACGCCCGTCAGCGGCCTCCGCCTCCTGCGCCGCCGCCACCACCTCGCGCTTGTACCGCGTCAGCGCCGGGCGCGGCGGGCGCAGCGTGGCCACGCTGGGCAGGCTGGCGCGCACGCCGGCGGCGTAGGCCCCAAGGGCGCCGTCCACGCCGTCCACCAGGCAGCGCAGCACGCCCGTGGGCAGCGGGGAGATGCCCAGGTCGAACAGGCCCTCCAGCGTGTCCGTCGCGGCCTTCACCGCCTCCGTCGTGGACCTGGTGGTGGTGGTGGGGGGGTGATGAGTGGGGGAGTGTGTACATGTGGGTGCGTGAGCGGGTGGACCAGGGCAAAGTCACGGGTGGAGGCCTTCGCAGGCCGGCCTGCCCTGCCAAACTTGTTGGCGCTCGGGTGCTGCGAGGTGCTCGTGCCTGTCTTGGACCAAGAGCACCCTCTGAGCTGCGCCGTCGTTCGCCTTTGCAATCCCCTACCCCAGACCCGACGCGCCTGGCCCCGCGCCCCGGCTGCCTCCCGTGGCGCTGCCAGTCCTCGGAGGCCAGGATGCGAGTGATCCAGCCGCGCAGCATGCTGGCCTGGCCCTCCACCCACTGGTAGAGCAGGGGATTGATGCGGGCCTGCAGGTCCCAGGGCTCGCCTGGGTCCTCGCGCGCCTCCTTCTTGAGAAACTCCTCCAGCGCCACGCCCAGGCGCAGCGCCTCCAGCGTAACCTTGTCCAGCACGCTCACGCCCACCACCCAGGGCAGGAAGGCGGCGCCAAAGGCGTCCTGCAGCGCGCGCGCGGCCACGCCGCGCGCGCGCGGCTCCACCGGCAGCAGCAGTGGGGAGTAGGCGCGCAGCTCGGTGCGCAGCAGCTCGATGGCCGAGGCGGCCAGCGCGGCGGCGGCCGCGGCCTCGCCGGCGGCGCCGCGCGCGGCGGCGGCGCGACGCCGGCCGAACTCGGCACGCACCGAGCTGCGCACCGCGCCGCGCAGGAGCGACGGCAGGCCGCCCAGCGTGCCTAGCGCGCGCTCCACGCCCTGGAGCAGGGCCAGCAGGCGCGCCATGGCCGTCTGCGACCCCACCGACCCGTGGTAGTCGCGCAGCAGGCCCAGCACCGCCTCCGACAGGCAGCCCAGGACCTGGGAGGCGGCTGCGGCGGAGTCCGGTGCCCGCGGTGTGGCCTGGCGGGAGGAAGTCGGCGTGTTGCCAGTCGAGGAGACGGCGTTCCCGGTCGCGCCGTTGGATGCGGTGTCCGCCCCGTCTCCACCGCTCGCTTCCCCGGCCCCCGCCCCACCCAGCACCGGCAGGGCCTTGACGATGGTGTTGGCGCTGTCCAGCAGGCGCCCCTCCCCGCTCAGCACGAATTGGCGGAAGTGGACCCAGGCGTAGAGCGCTAGGTGGAGCTCGGGGGTGATGCCCAGCGCAGGCCAGACGCGGGCGCGGAGCAGGCCCACCAGCTCGTCGCTCTCGGCCACGTACTCGGCCTCGGACAGCGCGTCAAAGGTGCCGCGCAGAAGGCGGTCCGCGATGCTCGCGCAGAGGAGCCAGCCAAAGTCCCAGCCCGCGTCGCAGCACGCGGCCACGCTGCCGGCCGCCTCCACCACCGCCGCCGTGGCGGCCGCGTACTCAGCCTCGTCGTACTCGTCGGCGTCGGCGACGTCGGCGCGGCGCAGCGCGCCGCGCAGCCGCGCCAGGGCCGCGCGGCCGGAGCCGTCGCTGGCGCCGCGCCAGCGCTGCGTCGCCGCCTGGCGCAGCACGCACCATAGCGTGGCTGAGGTGCCGCGCCGCCAGCGCACAAAGTTCTTGAAGCTGGAGAAGGAGGAGGGGCGCACCGTCTGTGGCGGTAAAAGGGAAGGGGGGATGGGGTGGGGTCCTGATGAGGTCTAGACGAGGGTGGCAGAGGCCAGGGCGACATGGATTGCTTAGAGGAGGCCAGCAGTGTGTGGCCCGGGCCCAACAAGGTGCCTGCGCCGCAGTTAAAGACGGCATATCCACAGCCCCTCCTCCACACCTGCTGCCCCACTATCCTAACCCCCCTTTCCCACCTTGAGCAGGCGTGCGTGCATGTGCAGCGTGCCGATCTCCTGCTTGGCCCCTGCGTCCAGTGCCGCCACGGCGCGCAGCTCGTCGGAGCGCGCAGCGCTGACCTCCAGCTGCGCGCGCAGCACGCCCAGCAACGCGGGTGACGCCTGGTCCCCGGCAGCCGCCAGGAAGGTGGCGTAGGTTAGGTCCTTGAGCTGCGACTCGTCCAGGTCCAGCGTCACGTCCTGGATGCTCAGCTCTAGGCCACGATCGGCGGGCGCGGGGGCGGGCGTGGCGGCCGACGTGACCTCGGCAGATGGCTGGGGAGTGCGCGGCGTGGCGCGGCCCAGCAGGCTGCCGCGGCGGGAGGCGGGGCCATCGCGCTGGCTGGAGGGCGCGCGGCAGACGGCCATCAGGTCCAGCTCCCCGCCCCGGGCGATGGAGGGCAGGAGCGCGCCCACGTCGACCTTGTCCAGCAGCCAGTCCTCGAAGCCGCTACAACCCACGGGCAGCAGGATGGACATCCCATACTGCTGGAGGCTCTGGTGGGGGGGGGGCGGAGGGGAGGGGTGGAGTTAGTGACTCGCAAGAGCCATGATTGGAGGTGGGAACTACCCGGGAACGGAGCTGTATCGCGGGCCCGACAGGTCAGACTGCACGGCTACGCCCGCCCCTGGAGGACCTTGGTCATACTCAACGTTGCAGCGGCATGCGTGACCGCCCCCAAACGGCGCACTAGCCAGGAAAGGGGGGTCCTCGACGAGCCTGCCGGGACCACGGCCAGCCCTCACCTTGAGGAGCTGGCACAGAAGCCGCCTGCGGTCCAGTACAACCTCATCCAACGTCAGTTCCAGCATGTTTTATCCCAGATGCACGCCTTCCATGGACTATCGGGGAGCGTCTGCCACGCCGAGTCCAGCCAGATCGTGCTCGGCGGGTGGTGGGACGGAAGGAACCTTGATCGCCAATGCCGGAACGCCAGGCGCTCGACCCACAGCTGTAAATGCTCCGGATGTGTTTGCAAACAGGAGACGGTGCATGCGCCCTTCACATCAGCCAAACGCGGTCAGGGAGCGGGATCGGGACAGATGTCCTTCGCGCGCCCCCGACACATGCATGCCGACTTGTTGTCTCCAGTGGAGGTCCACTGCCCTCCATTTCCCTCGTGTCCATCTGCCCTACCCTCCCCCAAGTATCTATGTCACGTTGGTTCTTTCAGTCAGGCCGCGCTGTGCATTGCACACATGGGATTATCAGAGGATCCACCGCGGCGATCACTCCTTCTTGTCCTTCACCTCCGCATCTTGAACGTTCTCGGCGCCGGCGGCGCCCGCCTGCCCGGACAGGGAGGACCCGATCTTCATGGAGGCGGTCTGCAGCGCGGTCACCTTCTCCTTGAGGTCCGCGGAAGAGGCGGACTCAAGCGCCCCCCGCAGGTCGGCGGCGGCCGCCTCGATCTCGTCCACCACCGCCTGCGGCAGGCGGTCCTTGTACTCCGCCAAGCTCTTGTCGGCGGAGTACAGTGCCGCGTCAGCGTCGTTCCTCGCATCGATCTGGGCCTTGCGCTCCGCGTCCTCGCTTGCAAAGCGCTCCGCGTCCGACACCATGCTCTGGATCTGGGACTCGGACAGGCCGCCACTGGACTGGATGGTGATGGACTGCTCCTTGCCCGTGGACTTGTCCTTGGCGGCCACATGCACGATGCCGTTGGCGTCGATGTCAAAGGTCACCTCGATCTGGGGCACGCCGCGCGGGGAGGGCGGGATGCCCACCAGGTCGAACTGGGAGTGTGAATTGGAAGGGGGGGGTGTGAGGGGTGTATGGGTGAGGACTCTGGGCTAAGCTTGATAGGATGGGGAAGCGATGGAGACCTGGCGCATGCTCTGACCGTAAGAACGGCAGGGTGCGCCCCGGGGAAAGCCCCGCCAGCATCACATGACCAGGCACTCCTCAACTGGCCACACACACCTGCCCCAGCATGTTGTTGTCGCCGGCCATCTCGCGCTCGCCCTGGAAGACCTTGATGCCCACCTGTGGTTGTGTGAAGGTGGCAGAGAGGACCATTGACAATTATTCTGAGGTTTAAGTCTGTCCCCTGACTGTTCAAACACTGCCCCTCCTATGTGTTGTTTTGCTTCCCTTCCCCAGCTCACGAGCATGCTGCACTTGCCCCCGCCCCTCCCCCGCCCTGCCTCCCTCTCAGCCAGACCCTGTGCCTGTCTACGTTCAGAAGAAACCCCCAAAACATACCTGCGTCTGGTTGTCGGCAGCGGTGGAGAACACCTGGCTCTTCTTGGTGGGGATGGTGGTGTTGCGCGTGATCAGCTTGGTCATGACGCCACCCAGTGTCTCGATGCCCAAGGACAGGGGGGTGACGTCCAGCAGCAGGATGTCCTTAACGTCGCCACGCAGCACGCCGCCCTGTGCAGCGCATGGTGGTGGGGTGGGAGGAAAGAGCGTCAGCCGATGGTGGGAGGGGCATGGGAGGGGAGGTGCGCGGGGGAGGTGTGTGTCATTCAGGCCTCCCCCCCCCCAACCCAGCCTGCTCATACGAGCATGGGAAAAGGAATGTGCCCGCCATTCTAAAAGTCACAGAGCGAGCACGTTGGAGTGCGTTCCTCTGCGTGCCATGGCATGGCAAGTCACTATAGCATTACCATACCCAAAACGGCATGGCCATGGTCTGGGCACACGCGCTCTGACAGGCATGCACGGATTATTTATGTTGTGAGTGGGGTTTGGGGGGGATGCAGGCCAGCTGCACCCTCTGCGGCCCCAGGTACAAGGGTGGATGTGCACCCTTTCCTCACTCACCCCCTCGCCCTCCGACCCCACCCCTCCGAGCCCCAACCCCTCTGACCCCCACCCCTCCAACCCCCCCAACTCCGACCCCCACCCCTCCCACCACCCCCCAACTCCAAAGTCCACACACCTGGATGGCGGCGCCCATGGCCACCACCTCGTCGGGATTCATGGACCTATTGGGCTCCTTGGAGAAGATGGTGCGCACCAGCTCGTGGACGCGGGGCATGCGCGTCATGCCGCCCACCAACAGCACCTCGTTCACGTCCTTGGCGGTGACGCCCGCGTCCTTGAGCGCGCTGTGGCAGGGCTGCACAGTGCGGTCCAGGAGCGGCTTGACCAGGGTCTCGAACTTGGACCGCGTCAGGGTCAGCTGCAAGTGCTTGGGGCCCGTGGCGTCGGCGGTGATGAAGGGCAGGTTGATGTCGGTGGAGGAGGCGGAGGACAGCTCGCACTTGGCCTTCTCCGCTGCCTCGCGCAAGCGCTGCACCGCCAGCTTGTCCTTGGACAGGTCGATGCCGTCGGAGCGGCGGAACTCCTCCACGATGTGGCTCAGCAGCGCATTGTCAAAGTCCTCCCCGCCCAGGAAGGTGTCGCCGTTGGTGGCCTTGACCTCGAACACGCCGCCGGAGATCTCCAGGATGGACACGTCAAAGGTGCCGCCGCCCAGGTCGTACACCGCCACCAGGCCCTCCTTCTTGTCTGCGCCGTAGCACAGCGCCGCGGCGGTGGGCTCGTTGATGATGCGGAGGACGTCCAGGCCGGCGATGCGCCCCGCGTCCTTGGTCGCCTGGCGCTGGTGGTCGTTGAAGTAGGCGGGCACGGTGACCACCGCCTGGGAGACGGGGCGGCCCAGGTACCGCTCCGCGGTCTCCTTCATCTTCTGCAGCGTGAAGGCGCCGACCTGGGAGGGGGAGTAGCGCTGGCCGCCGGCCTCCACCCACGCGTCGCCATTGTCGGCGCGCACGATGTTGTAGGGCACCATCTTGCGCTCCTTCTGCACCTCGGCATCGTCGAAGGCGCGGCCAATCAGGCGCTTGGTCGCGTACACGGTGTTGGTGGGGTTGGTGATGGCCTGGCGCTTGGCGGGCAGGCCCACCAGGCGCTCGCCGGACTCGGTGAAGGCCGCCACGGAGGGCGTGGTGCGCTGCCCCTCCGCGTTCTCAATCACCTTGGCCACCTGTTGAATTGTTTTGAAGTGAAGGGGGCTTGGGGTTGGGTCAGACAGGATCAGCGTTTGCGATCTGCCGACAAGTGGCTGCTTGGGCCCCAGCCACACGCTGCAGCAAGGATCACTGCTTGCAGCAGCAAAAGGGCCATGCATGCATGCATGCATGCCTTCAGCGTGCCGCTGTGCAGAGCATCGGTACACCCTGGGCCCTGTCAGCACAGCCCTGCACAAACCCAAATCCACACTGGTTACGCTGTGGTGCAAGGCATTCCCAACCAGCGCCAGATCGCAGCACTGTGCAGGCCCCACACCAGATGATTCATCCCCTCACCTTGCCCTCCATGACAGCCACGCAAGAGTTGGTGGTGCCCAGATCGATGCCGATGACCTCATTCCCTGCGGCGGATCGGCTCACGGTGGACCTGCGTGGAATGGGGGATGGGGTCGGTGCATGCCATGCGGCGCAACACATCTCAGCACACACACCACCCAAGGTCGGACTGCTCACCCGAAGCACCGCAGGCTGTCCGTCCATGATGTGGCGTTGCATTTATATGCAGAAATCTGCGATTATGATGATGAGGCAAGGTAAGGATCTCAAAGCCGCTCAGGAGCAGGAGGACACCATCAGCACAACAGCATCGCCGCTCACCGATGACTCCGGGCTCAGGCGGAGCAGGCTCTTCCCGAGCCGCCGACCCGCCTGACTCAGCATGATGACCAGGGATACCGGATGGGTTGTGGAACTCACTGTGACAGCGAAAGACGGGGAGTCTGCCCCGCCCCTGGGACCTTCTGGACAGTCCTGCGTGACGAGACGCCCCAGGCTTGATCCAGGGACCGCCCGGGGCGCGCAGGCCCGACACCAGGCGCTGGATGGAGTACAGGAAGATGCCCATCCCATTGCTGTGATCTCGGAGTCGGACTTCATGGAAGCCTGCTCGGGCAGTTGATGTGCTCGTGAAGGATTTGGGCCAGCGCTGGGGAGCTCCCGGATCGTCGCGCAGGGCACGGCAACTGGGGTGCTACGTGACGACCATGCTGTGGTCCCTGCGAAGGGCCTGTTCCCTCGGCAGACACCTCTCCTCCACTCTCCGTCAACACAGGTGTGGCTTTGAGGGATGATCACCACCCTGCTCTGATGTCGGGGCTGTGGGTCGAGGGGCCTGCCGTGCGACTGGGTTAAGGGGCATGGCACCCACCTGCCCAGCACCTGCCCGCCCCGCAGCGTGCTCGCCGGCTCCCATGCCGGGAGCTCCGCCCTTTGGGCCATTGCTGGAGGCACCACTGGACTCGGCCTGGCCATGACCGTCAACTCCGTGGCCTTTGCTGAGGCGGCCCCTCAAGCTCCCGCCAGCGGGGCCCCTCCCCCGCCAGGCGCCTGGGAGCAGGTGCAGGGCTTCTGGTCCAAGGCCGTGTCCGTCGCCCCCAGCGGGTGGTGGCGCGGGGGAGCCACTGCCCAGGTCCCCCTCCCCACCGACAAGCTGCAGTGCCATGCGCCGGCCCGAGGTGCGCGATGTGGGAGGGAGGGGGTGATCCACGGGAGCCATCTCTTGACCAGGCGGCCCATGGGCTGCAGCAGGTGCCCTGCCCTGCCTCTGAGTATCACATGGGTGTGTGTGTTTGTCCCCGGTGCGTCTGTCCCAGAGATGCAGTAATGAGCACCCTGCT